ACCGTTAAATGTTCAAAACAAATGGAGACGTATGAAATGATATTTAATAGTGACAGTAGGAAACAAGGCTTTTAATTAACTTTGCAACCGTGTGAAGATCCCACACGTGTGCAACCCCTTTCCCTTTCTTAATACAGTCCCCAACTGATCTTTTTACTACTAAATACGACACCAAGTTGCTGCCAAACCTTATAATAACCGGTCACCATCCCTGTCGGCGCTACCTCCACGCGGCGGTAATCCCCACATCCCACTGTCTTCTCGTTCTCATTACAACCGGTAGTTCCCGGTCAGAGAGGTCAAACCTCCCGTCAATTCTTGCTTTGTCCCTCCAATCCTCGACAAATAGGGAAGGATCAGGTATTCTGTCGTTAACACCACGCAGCGAATTCAGAGGGAATGTAACTTAAGATGGGTACGTTTCACGTTGTTATTGGATGATAGTTGTGTTTGGTGTTGGGCCTAAATCCTGGGGGAACACGAAAGAAGGGGATCAGAAGGTTGAGAGCACGTCCGTGCATGGTTCAGGGGCCGTTCGATGCACGGGTTCGATTGCTTTCAGAACACAATAATTACGGATGATACGGGCGTGAGTTAACTTTTTGCACTTAAACCCTCATAAAAATTATAATGTTATGCTCTTTTTTGGATTGTAATAATCTTGCAAAATAATTCAGAGCATTAGATTTTTTAAGAGGTCCTTTGCTAATCAAACTTATATAGAAGATAATAAGTCTTCTGGAAAAAAAAGTTGGCTGCTGGTTTGTGGCGATAAATGTGAATTCTATTCCTAGTTTAGATTATGGCTTAAAGTTAGGAGATATATTTTTTCAAATAAATTTGGATCAATGCCTACTTTTAAACTTTTAAGTTTATTGGCTCCTATTTCATTTAAGGCTCATATTTTATGCATGTGAAGTTTTTCTTTAGAAGTGGTTTCAGTGTTTGAATTGTGTTCTAACGAGAGCGAAGTCTAATGTGCAAACTAAAGAATGACTAAGATCAGGTTAGGTTGTCAAACTCAAGATGTTAAAATATCCTAGCTAGGATGATTGACATGTCATGTTGTGTCAATCATTGTCAGTTTAAAATGAGAGCTAATCCGCCCATAGATGGTGAAAATTTCTATGGATATTTTGTAGCGATGCTGTCGGTACAGAGTTACTAATTAAGAGCAATAATCAAACTTATTGGTAGATGGTGGTGCTAGAGATTTGCTCCCATGAGTAATGAGTAATGATTATGGAGTTGGTTCGCAAAGTGAATGAAAAATTCTTGAGATGCTAGTAGCCATGTCTAGTCTCCATCCCAAACAACTGCAAGGCTCATAATGTTTGTGAATGCCTGAGCTAGGGGGTAGATGGCTGAAAATTTCCATGCATGAGTATATAATCCTATGCTATTTTCACTTAGCTAGTATGAATAATTTAATCTTTTTTGTTATTCTAATTTCTGTTTTAGGCCTATTTACTTCCAGTTGGACTAAATTTCTTCGCAAAAAAAAAATGCTATTAAGGATGATCATAGGAAATCTTGCTGACTAAAAATAACCAATTATCATAAAATATGAGCTTTAATATTATCAATAATATTAACGTTCCCCTTTGTCCTCGATTACTTCTGTATTATTTTCTCTCTCCTGTTCTCCGGTAAAATGCATTTGTGGCCGGCCAAACAAAGTGGAGCATGTTAACTCCATGTCCTCTTCATGTCCGCAGAAAAAGCAGCAGACAAATATCAAATAAAGTCTTAAAAGTATAAACATGTTTAGCTGTTCTTTATTAAGTTAATCACAAGCATTAATAGAAAAATCAAAAGAAAAGGAGGCGAAAAAAATAATGCCAAGCTTTTGTCTGAAACACCGCAGAGAACTTTCATACTTGTGTCGCTCTTGTTGCCTCCAAAAGGGGAATAATTTTGCAGGGGGAGAGGAAATTTAATTACTACATTTTCCACTATTTTTCCATTTGTTTATGGATCCATAAACACACACCCCTTTTTATGCAGCTGTACTCCTTTTGTTAGTAAATAAACAGCAAAATAAAAGAGTGTTTCCATTGAAAGTTAGTGTGGTGAATATAAAAGTCTTTTGTCTCCTACTTTGATCTCTTCCTTTTTTTTGCCTTTGGTTTTACATAAAACGGGTAATTAAATTACTAAAAAGACTCTTTACTTCTCATCATTTGCCTACAAATATATATCTCTCGAACTTGGAAATGAGAAATAACAAAATTTAAACATTAGGTGCTCCATGTTTAAAGATGAATCATGACAAATGAAACTTTAACTCTCGGAAAAACAAAACAATTTAATATTTGGAGCTAGTTCCCAATTACTTCAAGCATATGATTGAGAAATTTGTGACGATAAAGAGTTTTGTTCATATATACAAAGTTCTACCCTTATTTAAATTTTAACCAATCCACCTTCAAATTATTATGATACCCAAAAGATCTATATTTAATTATTTTAAAACCCAGCCATAACACCTTAATTTCCAATACAACCTACTTAAGCGTTACTGGCACAACAATTATAACAAATTAAGCATAATAATCGAAACAAAAATTAAGTACATAAATGTGATGTTTCTCTCCGAAAAGAAAATGTGATGCCACAAAGAAATTAAAAAACAGTAATAAAAAATTAATAACCTTGAGCAAACTAAAATTTAGAAATTACTAACCTTTCCTCTAGATATTCCAAACAAATTTACACAAAACCCCGTTTGCAAATCTAGAAAAGAGCAGCACCTCTCCACAAAGCCCTCATCCAAATCAGATAATTATCCGACAAAGCCCAAAAATTAACGATAAAGACGGCCAACTACTTATTATTATTATAGTGACCCAAAAAAAAAAAAACTTATTATTACAACCCCCACACTCATCCCCCCTTTTCCTAAACAAACAAACAACCAACAACAAAAGGAAAAGAGGGAAAAAGCAAAAAAAAACCCACCAAAAAAAAAGCCAAGCTTTTTCTTCTCTCCTCTTCCCAAAATCTCAACGCCAACAAATTCTGGTTTCAGAGTGCTCTGATGACACCGACATTAGAGGAACACGACTACATAGGCCTCTCCGAGGCCTCCTCCAACAACTCCGCCGTCAGCTCCGCCGCCGGCAAGCTCACCAGTTTGAAGCAGACGGAGCTCCGCCTGGGCTTACCCGGATCCGAGTCCCCTGAGCGCGTTAGCGGGTCGGGTCTCACTCTAGGGATCAACCTTAAAGGGTTCGGGTCTGGGTCCAAAAGGGGTTTCTCTGATGCGCTCGATGGCTCCCCAAATTGGGGTTTTAATGGCGGTAAAGGATCTGAGCTGGAGCTGTTCTCGCCTAAGAAAGGGGAGGGTGGAGGAGGAGCTAAGGATTTGGAGAAGAAGAAGACTGTTACTAACTCGGCGCCAGTTGCGAAGTAAGTTTGATTTCAGGGGGTTTTATGAGATTTTGATGGGTTTTGGGAACTGGGTTTTGTTGGGTTTGGTTTGGGTTTTAGTTGTTTAGAAGAAATTTGTAATTTTTTGGGTGTTTGTGAAATATACAGTAGTTAGCTGATCTATTGGTCTTTTAGCAACTGGGAATTTTTGATTTTGTTAGAAGATGAAGTTTGCTCATTTTGGAATGAAATTGTTGGTAGTAGAAAAACGTAGGCTATGAATTTGATAGATGTTGTTAAGGGTGATTTATTGAGAAATTTTGAGTATGATATACTTGTTAGTATAGCTGAATAGATCGGTGGTTGAGCTAACTCTAGTTTTTGCTTGTTCATTGTGGTTTCTATTGAAAGGTTAATTATATGATATGCAGTTTTTGGTTGTTTGTTCCTTTCTTCTACATTCTTACAATAATAATGTGAAATCATGTTCTTGCTAATTTGTGTCTTTTTAAAGCTATTTTTTGTAATAAGATTTAAAGAATGTTATATAACCTGGTGATGCAGAGAATGTTATTGTTAAAGCAATATTAGATGTTTAGGTTTTTCCTCCTTGCAATTGAACAGATTTTTTTTGTGGAAATTCAAATATTTTATATGAAATGCTTTTTCTTTTTTTGGGTATGTGTCCAAAAAATTATTGCATGCTATTTAATTTACAGATATTTGTTGCTGGTTGGTATAACAATGTTTCCTTGTTTTACATGTTTATAACAAAAATGTGAATATCTACTTCCTAATCCGTGTCTATCAATGATAACTTTTAAACAGTTAATGAGCTATAAATGTTATATTGCCTAGTAATGCAGATAATATGTTATTGTTCAGATAATATTGTTTATTTACACCTTTTCCCTCTTAAGAACAGAACTTGTTTATGAAAATCTGCAGATCTTATACGAAATGATTAATTTCAGATTCAATTAGCTAGAAAGGACTTTGTACTTATATCGATATATTCTTCAATAGGGCACAAGTAGTGGGATGGCCACCAATCCGAAACTCCCGTAAGAATATAATGGCTACAAACAACAACCAATCAAAGAACAAGGAAGATGCTGATGGAAAACAAGGTTCAGGATGTCTCTATGTGAAAGTTAGCATGGATGGAGCTCCTTATCTTAGGAAAGTAGATCTCAAAACATATTCGAACTATAAGGAGCTTTCCCTAGCCCTGGAGAAGATGTTCAGCTGCTTTACTATAGGTGAGCTCTGTTTATGTTCCATACTTTTACATGGTTATATTATTCTATTAGAGACTACTTCGAAAATTTTATTGTTATCCCTGTATTCATTAGATAATATTTGCTTGTCTCCAGCAACATATCGAGTTATTTTTGTCTAAGAAGTGTAATTATACAGTAGTATCTACAACTTTTCCTTCTTGTGTTATTGTGAGTAGTATTTGAGAAATTTTCACAGGTACAGCTGTATGTAATAATTCAGAAAATTTCTTTTTGCATGTTGTTGGTAGCTATTGATGTTATGTAATGATAGCTAGCTGTTACGTAATTATTTTTTGTTTTTCTTATTTACTGTCACTTTTACTATGTTCTTTCTTTTCTCCATATATGTCATGTGGGATGTTTGAAGGGAATGCATTTGTGACTGATCACAAACAAATGGATTTTCTCATCTTCATGTCCTTACTTTCTTGTACCAAATGTTCTTTTCACCAGTCTTTGGGAAAAAGGTCCATATGTGTTACTAGCAATGCTTTCTCTTTAATAGTTTTACATTTCACTTTGAAAAATATTCTTATACCAGCGGTTTTCCCTTATTAAATGGTATAGATAAGTTTAGCGATGCCGTTAGTAGCAATGTTTTATCTTTTAATAAGATTTCATTTTGCTATGGAATTCCATCCTTGTAAGAAGAATATGTTACGATAATTAAATTTTATTAGTAACTTCAGTTACATTGTAATAATTGTGTAATGGCTTGTTGAGCTTCTGTTTATATGTTTTACCTGTATTGCAATTCTTGTTGTTTCAGGTCAATGTGGTTCAAATAGTATACCAACCAAGGATGGTGATGGATCTGAAAATGTCCTTACCTATGAAGACAAGGATGGGGATTGGATGCTTGTTGGAGATGTTCCATGGGAGTAAGCATCAAGTTCTAAATGTTGACTTGCTATGATTCTGGCTAAAGTTTCCTTTATGTTTTTATATCTACTAAGATATATTTCATAGACTTTTCATTCTTCTGTCATTACAAATGTCACGTTTAGTTTTATACCTACTGCATGATATAAATGATTATGTTTACCTGAAATTATTATGTATCTGTTTTGAGTTCTTTCATTTGCATGTGGAGGTCGAAATGTGGTGGTCGAACTACAAAGGCGGTGCCTACTAGTTACCATTAATACATTAGCTAGAATGCTTAAATTGTGAGGCAGTTTCTAGTAGTTTTGTCTCATCGCTGTTAGTTTTGATAGGATTGTATTCTTAGCAGCATGCTTCCCTATAGGGGAAAACTAAAGTTGAAAAATGATTGAAATTATGATGGATTTTGATTACAGTGTTGTGTTTCGTGAGAAGTAGAAGATGTATATCACGTAGCAAGATATTTGAAATACATTTATGGCATTTCAAATTGATAATTTGTTTCTAGTAACTTATTTGAACCAAACTGTCTTATGCTATGCTAGTTTTTGGTCAAGACATCAATTACATTTTACCAAAAATCATTCTATTGTCTGGACGGTAGAAGAGGGCGGTCAAGCAGTTGGGTAGGCTACTGCATAGTCCTTGGAAAATGCTTTATTATATAGCAATGTCGAAGGGCTCAGCTTTATTATCTGGGCCTTTTAAATTGATTAACAAGTAGGCATAATGATCTCGGTTTCATTTTATTCTTGTTATTTTAGTAAATATCCTCTCCTGCTGGTGTTATATGGTATTATTTGAAAGTATTATGTTGATTATTTTCATAACTTGATCTGTTTTAAGAACCTGTGCATGACGGTCTTTTCTTGGAAAATTGCAGTTCTAACTAATATTTTGACGTTGCAGCATGTTCACTGCAACCTGTAGGAGGCTGAGGATCATGAAGGGTTCGGATGCAATTGGACTTGGTATGTGCATGTTTTGTACATTTTACATACATATTATTCAATTTTTAGCTCCTAAGTATGTCATTTTTCCTCAAACTACATAATCTAGTGAATAGACACATTGAAGGATGTCATCCCTTAAAGTGGAAGTCAATCAGAACACTTCTCGAATTTGTACCTCATTTCGAAAGTGACATGTAGTTCGTACTTTTGTGGCATTTGTAGAGAAGTTAGTATTGCATACCTTGAATTAATTTGATGTAATCACACAGTAAACATACTATAACATGGTTCAGCAATTTGACTACATTCAAGGATAAGAGGAGAGTAGGTCTTTATTACTTGAAGAAGAATAATACAATATTTTCTCGAATGTAAATTTCCTTTGAAGTTTCTTCCTTATATTTTTCTTTGTCTTCCTGGTTTTTTACAATGGATCTCTTTATGGGTACTAAAAGACCTGTTCCTAGTTGGGTTCATGTAGGACTTGTGCTCCTAATTGCTTTGATTGGAATTTATACTTAACTAAATTTTTGTTTAACTGAAATCAATCAAACTCCAATTGAACTTGTATTTCCCTGTCAAAGTTAGCATTCAATCTGATGAGTCACATTAGTACTTTGACTCTGATTGTTTGTGATTATTGAGTTTTATATCCCTTCTCATCCATTAGATGAAATATTTGTGATATTGTTTAATTCAATTCCCTAAAAAAGTTTTGATTGATTCATCTTTGAAACTCGTTTCATACAGGTTATCCTACATTTTATTTTAAACTCTCCAGTAACGTTGATCCACACTTTGGCAGGAGTTATACTTTTATTGTGATGTACTTTAGATCTTAGTATTGTATTGTAGCAATTTTGTGAATATGATTGTACTAATGAGTTTCAATTTTGTGTTCTTTCAGCTCCGAGGGCATCGGAGAAGCGCAAGAATCGAAGTTGATCACTTCAAGCTGAAAATTCAAGCACAAGCATACCAACTAATTCAAAAGGGCTCTTCTCGAAACCAAAATGGTTTTAAGGTTTTTTAAAAATGCGTCCTATTATATCTCTTGCGGTTTGTTACCTACGTTGAACAAAACCTTAATTTAGCTTCCTATGATTTCTCAAGGGTAAAACCTTATTAGATTGTTGTTCACCTTACTATGTGTAAATCGTGTGGTTGCTTCTTATTCCAGACTGATACATTTTCAGCAATGTTTGTGCTCAGTTTGTGTTAAATTCTGCGATTGCCTTTACTTCGGAGGTGTAGTGAAAATTGATGGTTATAATTTTATAACCTAAAATGTTTTGCAGGTTGAGCTTTTTTCTTTTTCTTTTTCTGAGAACCAAAACCTTGGTTTTATAATATCTGCGGATTAAGCGTCCTTCTCATATACGGAACCTTCGTTTTTATGTAGTAGTCCCTTTTTAGCCTCTATTTTCTTTAAATATGTGATCAATAGTGTTTGATTCTTTATCAAAGCAATACCATTTTGAATGCTAAATTGTTCTGTTGCTCTGATTGAATTGTTGCTAGCCTTCTGAAGTTCGCTTTAGTGAGCTTCCGTTGTTCTCCTAGGCTTTGTTTATCATCATTATGGAAATTCTTGGGGAAATGAAATGTGATGTTGGGGCCCACGCACAGGTGTTTGAGCATGATTGAAGGGGGGAGCCTGAGCTGTTTGTCTGCGCCTTGTGGGTTATATTTTGGACAGCAAATGTACTCCTCAAGCCTTTTCCAACAGCCAATCATCTGTTATTTATTATGGATGGGCAAAGAACAGAACAGTACAAGAAAGTAAGAAGGGGGCGGTGGAGGGGGGGGGGGGCGGGGGGTTGGTTTTTGTCCACTCATCTTCATTAGAGTCTGGGCTTCTCTTTTGCTTTGAGCCGTGGAAAAATTAATATGCCTCCAGTTTATTTGCATTGTTAGTTCTGCTTGTCTGTGGTTGTATTTGGTCTGTGATAGCTTTTCGTGTAGGAGGCGCTACAGTCACACCCAACCACACCCTCTTAATTACAGCTGTATTGGGGCCCACATGAGAATTTTAATAAAAATTTTTTTATGTGGATCCCAGTATACTGTAGCGAGAGAGGAGTGTGGTTAGGAGGTGTGCCTCTAGTATTTTTTTTTTCGTGTATTTTTTGTTATCGTAGGGGAGGGGCTGATTGTTTCTGATTTTTGGGCTCTGGTTAGTTTTTACATTAATCTGTTGAGAGTCCTATTTCGAATATTATACAATTATGTCCCGAATTCTCACTATAATTCTAAAGTGTTGTTACCTTAGGAGGAACTTGAAAATGGTGTCATAGCCATTTACCTATTTAGAATATACAATTACATCCTTAGTTCTCACTATAACTTTTAAATTTTGATGCCGTAGGAGGAACTCGTAAATAATATCATAGCAATCTAGGCTTAACTTCCATCGGACCCACATTTAAAAGTGAATTTGATAAACAATATATCGCTGTGCAGACTGTTCAAAGTTGGGCCACGAGAATGACACACATTTAAAGTGAATTTGATAAACAAGATATCGCTGTGCAGATTGTTCAAAGTTTGGCCATGAGAAGGACGTCCAAACTGCGAGATCGTGATAAAATTACGATCGTAACCTTTAAACCTTACTAAGATCTTATGCAAACTTGCTTTGTTTCTTAGCAGACTATGGGCTTGCCTAAATTGTGCTTCGGATTGCCTTGCATGATAATGGTGGAAGGGATTGGAATCCTCCCCACTATAAAACAAAAAAAAGATAATGGATTGACCACTACTTAATCATAACCGTTAATTATTTAATGAGTGGTCATGATTTTTTCTTTAAGTACAAATTAGGAATGAGTGCAATACACGGGATACAGTAAATGTTAGATTTAGAATGTGTCACGATCACCTACTAAGTAATCAACAGTCGAAATTAAAATAGTGGTCTCACCACTAATGTTCTGTAATTGAGAGGATCCAAATTCCGTTGAAAGATTATAGTAGATAACATGTTCGAGATTAAACTATCACTGTTTCACTCCGGAAAAAAAAAATAAAAATAAAGGTAAGTAAAACTATATACTCCGAAGGGATGCTTGAAGTTTCTCAATTAATTATAGGCATATCTCATCTATCGCAGTAACTTAACATCTCAAATGTCTAATAGAATCTCATCGAGCTCCGTGACAAAGGCCATTGTATCCTCGAAAAGTTGGCTACAGAAATTACTTTATTTGTAAATCTGTATAAATTTAGTAACCATTAACTAGATAATCAATGATTGTGATTATGTAGTGATTCCTCCATTATTTTTTTTAGTGGAGAGGATCCGAATCCATTGTATAGGGATTTGGATCCTCTCCACTACCAAAAAGTAGTGGAGAGACCACTACTTTTAATCTTAAGCGTTGATTATTTAGTAGGCGGTTACGATACAATCTAAATCTAACACTTACCATACCCCCGTGTATTGCACTCATTCCTAATTTACACTAAAAGAAAAAATCATAACCATTAACTAGATAATCAATGACTGTGATTATGTAGTGATCCCTCCACTATTTTTTTTAGTGGAGAGGATCCGAATCCATTGTATAGGGATTTGGATCCTCTCCACTACAAAAAAGTAGTGGAGAGACCACTACTTTTAATCTTAAGCGTTGATAATTTAGTAGGCGGTTATGATACAATCTAAATCTAACACTTACCATACCCCCGTGTATTGCACTCATTCCTAATTTACACTAAAAGAAAAAATCATAACCATTAACTAGATAATCAATGACTGTGATTATGTAGTGATCTCTCCACTATTTTTTTTAGTGGAGAGGATCCGAATTCATTGTATAGAGATGTCAGCATCTCGTAACCGCTATCTAGTAAACATATGCCCCCCTGCATATTCGGCGACCTATGGGCAGATAATGTGGGCCTCTAACTGGGCCGCTCTTTTTGGATGATGTGGTCCATTAATCGTTTTCAAAGTGGCAACACAAGATGTGCCTTGCTGAAACTGGCTGCCAACAGTGATCTCAGTTCGAAAATATCAACTTACTTTTGAAAATTATTCTTACAAAAAGCCGTCTTCGTATGAACCGAAGTAATGAGTACTATGTATTACCTAGATTATGCATAATGGAGTGTAAATATGGACCTTAATTAGTTCTTGGTCCAATTGAATTATTTTTATTTTTATTTTATGGAATAGCATTTATTCATTCCATCTAAAGCATAAAAGATAATATAAATAGTTTTTTCTCACACATTCGATATAATCAAGAATTTTTAATGAGATAAAAAAGATATTTAACTAAATACAGTTGCATGCAGTCGACCTCTAAAACATTTTTCACGTTTTAAAATTGTTGCTCAATAGCCTCGTTCAAAAGAGCACTAAATATATCATTTTCAAAGCAAACTTATGCATCTTTTCTCTCTCTTTAGATTGATAATAATAGATGTCAGTGAATTGGGACACTTAAGTTAATGGGTCTTAGTTGGCGCTTCAGTTTTAGGTGTGGCCCATTAATTAAGAATTAATGGGCCATTTCCAGGGCTCAGCAAATTTCGAATATAACCGAATAGACCGCAATACCCGAAGTGCCGAATATCGTTCAAACGTCTCCGCACCGTAGCAACTAGCAAGGAATGGACATCGCATCGTAATGTATTAGAAGTGTACAGGATTTGATAGTGAAAAATAAATTATCGTGGGCCCCCGACCAATTTAACTTCCCTAACTCAAACTTAAACTCGAACTCGAGTATCTGGAGATTTTTGAAGTTGAACTTGGATACTGGGTATTTAATAAAATTAATGAATATTCACGAATATTTATGGAATGTCAAAGTATATTCATTTTGCTAAATAACTTGATTTTTAAATAATATTTAAATTTATAAATAAATTTTATTCCTTTATAGTTATGATATATATGTTAGATCTACATCATAAAACTTGAGATCTAAAACCATATAGCCATGATTAATTCAAAGAGATTAACAAAAAAAACAAAAGAGCGGAAGCTTATACCTGAATCCATAGATTGATCTTGATTTTGGGTTTTGGATCTTCTAACCTTAGGGTTTCTCTAGAACCGAATTTCTCTAGCTAGATGGGGGTGTAGAGAATTAGAGAATGTAACCCTAAGTTAGGGACCATAACCCCTTATTTATAGATGTTGTACTTTTGTAATTTAGCCCCTCAATAAATTACAATTACAACCTGGTATCTGCACATATAACCCCATGACTTATTTAAATACCAAATTAACCCAACTTAATTGATCACTTTAGTGGGTTATCCTGAAAGATAGCAATACACAATGATTAATCATATGTGCCCACAAATAGATTTATTAGATTAAATCCAACAATCTCCCACTTGGGCACCATATGATTCCTTAAACTGTGTATAACCTTATGACCTCAAAAATTGCTATCACTGAAATGGTATTTCCGAACAATTTCGTCCATTGACTATATCAATATAGGATCAAAGCGGTCTTCGTCACATTTATCGTGACTCGACCCATCAATGGTCACATATACCAATACAATCAAACGACATAGATCAATCATGGATGTGCAGCATGAAAATTACATGCAATGTGATCAGTACATGTCTATTTTCAACTGGTCCTCCTTAGTGAGGTCAAAACCAAACATAATGTAACAGAGTGTCTTAACTGAAAACTTTATTCTGATCAGACAATACAAACAAACATAAAGCACCACAAATACAAACTCCCACTAAAACATAATATCCTCAAATAATACCACACCCATTGACGAGGAGCTTGCTTGAGTCCATAGATAACTATTTGTTGAAACTTATGATACAATTGACGAGGAGCTTGCTTGAGTCCATAGATGGATTTTCTTAATTTGCAGACCATATTCTTTGGGTCTCCCGACACAAAGTTTTCTGGTTGCACCATATAGATCATCTCATCAATGTCTCCATTGAGAAATGCAGTCTTAACATCCATCTGATGTAACTCAAGATCATAATGAGCAACAAGTGCCATGATTATTCTGAAAGAGTCTTTCGATGAAACCGGAGAGAAAGTCTCTGTATAATCAATGCCTTCCTTTTGAGTATAGCCTTTAGCCACAAGACGTGCCTTATACCTCTCCACATTACCGTTTGCATCCCGCTTGGTTTTAAAAATCCATTTACAACCAATTGGTTTTGCACCTTCTGGTAATGGGATAAGTTCCCAAACCTTATTGCCTTGCATAGACTTGTACTCTTCATTCATGGCATCAATCCACTGTTGAGAGTTAGAACTTTTCATGGCCTGA